CCGGTGAAGAAAAGGTCTGAAGAGAAGGAGGCACCCAAGCAATGGAGTTCTTTATTCCGGGACAACCGTGCACCATCGCATGGACTTAAACTTGAATATTTTCCTCCCACCGGGGAGAAACTTGACTTCTCCCACCTTGCGGTTCCTACACTTGTTGAGATTTGGGGCTTTTGCCTTGTGGGCCACTTCTCCGGTAGGTTCCCCGGGCTCAAAGCTATATTTGCCATGACACAAAAATGGGGGGTCGAGGTTGATGTGAAACCCCATAAAAAAGGGTGGATTATTTTCAAGCTCAAGAGTGAAGAGGACCGATTGAAGGTCTTGGCCGAGGGACCTTATGTGCTCTATGGGAAGACGATGTCTCTTAAACCACTCCCCGAGGACTTCGCCTTTGATTGTGAGGAATTTCTAAAGGTCCCAATTTGGGTTAAATTCCCAAAATTGAACCCTAGACTTTGGCATGCTACCGAGATGGGAATGATTGCTTCCCAAGTAGGGGTGCCCATAACCACGGACAAGGTAACACAAGACATGCACTTTACTAATTTCGCTCGTGTTCTTATTGAGGTGGATGTCTCTAAACCCCCGGTGCTTCATTTTCCTATCATCCCCCCCTCGGGTAAGGAATATGAACAAAGGGTTGTCTATGAATCTTATCCGGAATATTGCTACCGGTGCAAGGAGTATGGCCACCACCCCTTTGCGGGCTGCCCCACAGTAGCTAAGGAGGCTTTGGAGGCTCATATGGCTGAAAAGGAGGTGGTAAAATCTGCACATATTCTCATGGACAAGGCTGAAGGTTTGGGCAATGATGGTGGAAAGGAATTGGCTGTTGTTGAACCTCCTTTTATCCAAGTAAACCACAGAAAAAATAAGAAGGTTTATGTGAAGAAAGGGCCGGTGGCAAGGGGGGCTGCTCCTAAGAGTCCTATGCCGCGGCCTATTCCTGAGAAAGGCATGGACATTCCTTCAACCTCGGCTGCTTTTGTGGATAAAGTAAACACAGGAGGGAAGAAAGCCCAAGCCCATAATTCTAAACCCATTGGTGCTACCAAAGGTGCCACGATTCCGAAGGAAATTAAACTGCCCCCCCTGGGGGAGAAGCCGAGGACTGATTTGAGGCCACCGAAGGATGCCCCAAAAGTTATGGCAATTACAAAGGATAAATTTGGAGGTGCTGTTAATGAAGACCTTCCTGAAGGTTATGTCATTCGCAACATGTATGAGATGGATTACAAGGATGTGGTAACAAGTATGTTCACTGCCGAGGATGGGAAGAGATATGCCACAGTGATCGAGCCTGATTTTCTTCCCAAGGATGAAGTGAAGGTAAAGGTTGGCGCAAACCTCGAACCTGTCCCTAATGATGATGAACCAGGCGTTTATTTCACACATGGTTGCCTTATGAAGCTCCCGGGAGTCAAACAAAAAGGGGACTGGTATGACTTCGACCCTACTGTTTTTCCTAACCATGTTCTCTCTTTCTTTGATAGAAATAGCAAAGAAAATAAGAGATACCACAAGGAATGGAAGCGTAGGATGCGAAGGAAGGAAGCTAAAACTGGAGAAACCGGGGGAGGAGGGACTGCCTCCGATGTGGACCTTACTTGATGATAAAAGTCCTCTCGTGGAATGTTAGAGGTTTGAATAAAACCTCGAAGCATATGTTAATCTCTAACTTTATTAAGGCGAATAACATTCACTTGTGTTGTTTTTTGGAGACCAAAATGAACCGGTTTAGTTTTAATAACTATGTTCTAAATAAATGGCCGGGTTGGGTTTTTAAGGAAAATTTTGATCTAATAAATGGTGGTCGCATGGCTGTTATGTGGAACCCCTTTTATGTTAATGTTTCTTTTGATGAAATTGATAGGCAACATATGCATGCTAAGTGTGTTTGTAGGATTACACAAACCACTTTTGTTGCTACCTTTGTTTATCCATTATATACGGTACTTGAGAGAAAATCCCTTTGGGATCACTTGACTTTGGTTGGAAATCACATCACAGACCCTTGGATGGTGTGTGGTGATTTCAACTGTATTTGTGCGCCTAATGAAAGGGTTGGTCCTACCCCCCCAACGGCGTATCTTATGCAGCACCTTATGGACTTTAAGGTCTCGGCCAGCCTTCACGATGCCCCCTCCACGGGAGAGTTCTTCACTTGGAACAAGGGCACATTATGGGCTAAACTGGACCGTGTGTTGATCAATGATGAATGGGCACTAAACAGTGTGGGGTGTAGGGTTCACTTCCACGAAATGGAGGTGGAGTTTGATCATACGGCTTCCGTTGTATCAATTCTCCAGAACTCCTCACCTAGACCCAAGCCTTTCAAATTTTTTAATATGTGGTTAAAACACCATGATTTTACTAACATTTTAGTGCAGCACTGGAACACGACTTGTGTTGGGTCGGCCCAATACCTCCTTGTTAAGAAATTAAAGGGTCTGAAAAGGCCTTTAAAAGTGCTTAATGCTATGGAGTTTGGGCACATTTCCAACAAGGCAAAGAGGGCAAAAGATGACTTTAAGGCAGCTCACAGATTGTTGCTACTTGACCCGACAAATGAGGAGCTTAAAGCTAGACTGGGGGAAACTAGTAAGAAGGCCATTTTCCTTTGTGAAGCCGAAACTAGTTTCTACCAACAAAGGGCCAAGGCAACTCACATCCTTGAAGCGGACAAAGGAACGAAGTATTTTCACGCTATTGTCAAACGGAACTTGGCAAGGAATGCAATTACTTCCCTTACTTTGGAGGATGGTAACATTACGACTTCTTTAGACCAAGTGGGGAGTGAGTTTGTTAATTTTTTTACGAGCTTATTTGGAACCCAGTTTGAGTGCCATCCGTTGGACCCTGATATTTTAGGGTCTGGCCCGAAGGTTGAGCGATCTGCCCATGGACGCCTGATTGCCCCGGTCTCCACCGTGGATATTAAAAATGCCCTGTTCGATATTGGCAATGACAAGGCTCCCGGCCCGGATGGCTACTCTTCTGCCTTTTTTAAAACAAACTGGGAGACGGTTGGGGAGGATATAGTCCAAGCGGTTAAGGAGTTTTTTTGTTCGGGGAATTTGCTAAAACAGATTAATCATACTGTAATTGCACTTATCCCTAAAACGAATCATGCTCCTAAGGTTTCGGACTATCGGCCCATTTCTTGCACAAATGTCTTATATAAAATCATCACGAAAATTATTGCTAATAGATTGATTCCGTGTCTCCCGGAATTAATTGACCATGCCCAAGGGGCTTTTGTGGATGGCCGCCTCATGTTTGATAACATTTTCCTTGCCCAGGAACTTGTTAGAGGATACACGAGGAAGCGAATCTCACCTAGGTGCATGATCAAGGTGGATTTGCGCAAGGCCTATGATACTATTTCGTGGGACTTTTTGGAAAATGTACTCAAGGGACTGGGCTTCCCTTCACAGTTTATTGGATGGATCATGGAGTGTGTCTCCACTGCTTCTTTCTCGGTCTCTTTGAACGGCTCTTTGTATGGGTTCTTCAAAGGGATGAGGGGAATCAGACAAGGAGACCCCATGTCCCCGTTATTATTCGTGATTTGTCTTGAATATTTTTCGCGTCTACTTAAAGTGCGGACTTCGGGTCCAAACTTCAATTTCCACCCCCAATGTGCTTCACTTGGAATTACTCATTTGGCCTACGCGGATGATTTAATGCTCTTTTCAAGGGGTGACAAATTTTCCATTGAAATACTTGTCACTGCCCTTAAAGACTTTGGGGACGTTTCGGGCCTACGAGTAAACCATGACAAATCTAATATTTTTCTTGGGGGTGTGATGGGGTTTGAACTACAAAATATCTTGGACTTCGTTGACTTTGGGCAAGGTGAGTTTCCGGTTAAATATCTTGGAATTCCCTTAGCCCCTCTTAAAGTATCGGTCGCACAGTATGCACCCTTGATTGACATTATCACTGATTTTTTGAATGCTTGGAATACCAAAACAATTTCTTATGCAGGGAAACTCGAACTAATACGTTCGGTTATCCAAGGTGTACAATCTTTTTGGTTGCAGGTATTCCCGGTTCCAAGAGCGATCATTGACCGCATTGTGTCCATTTGCAGAGTTTTCCTTTGGGGTGGAAAATACTCTAAGGTGGCTTGGGATGATATTTGTCTCCCAAAGGAGGAAGGGGGGCTTGGTGTCCGAAATGCTTCTACTTGGAATATGGCTCTCCTTTCTCGCACTTTGTGGGACGTACATCGGAAGAAGGATACCCTTTGGGTTAGGTGGGTCAATGGTGTCTACCTCCGGGGTAGAAGTGTGTGGGATTTTATCCCACACAACCGCGACTCAATTTTTATGAAAAAATTGGGTCAAACCCGAGACCGTATTATGGACTGTTTTAACAACCGAAATGATACCATCATGGGACTTTATGCTAGATCTCTAAATGGCAAATTAATTTCGGGAAAGGTTTATGACTTATTGAGAACCAAGGGGAGCAATAGGGCCTGGATGAGTTTCATTTGGAAATCCTATATCCCCCCAAAGTTCTCTTTTAATGTCTGGCTTGCCTTTAGAAACCGGTTACCCACACAGGATAACTTGGGATATCTTCATATTGTTAACCGATGTGACCTTTGCAAGGGTGGATTGGAAACAATTCCACACCTATTTTTTCTTTGTGATTTCACATGCAGGGTCTGGAAACGAATCAAGGACTGGTTGAGCATGGATCGGAGCATGACTACACTGGCTAGCTCGGTCAAGTGGATGCTTAAAGAGCACAAAGGATCAAAGTTGATGGGCAAAGCTGTTCGAATTGCGTTCTGTGCCGCGGTGTATCACCTTTGGCATGCGAGGAATGCAAATAGATTTGATGATTGCAACAAAACCGAGGACGAGATCGTTGCGAGGATCAAACATGTGGTGTATAAGATTCAACATATACCCACATGAGTTGATCAATTTCTGATGGATGGAAGAAACCTTTCGCTAGGGCCTGCTTTGGCATTTTTGCTCCTGATTTTGTAGTGTCTGCAGTTTTGCAAACACCCTAATCTTTGTCATTTTTGATGTATTGCAGAACTGTACGTGCGTGTAGACTTACAGCACTTGCTTTTGGTTTTTGATGTTTGGGGGACGTAGTAGGTTTCCTATTAGGGCCCCAGCTTGTTTTTGGACTTAGATCGAACACAAACCTTCCTTCCAACCCTCTCATTTGATGGGGGGGGGGTTTGGGTAGATCTAGGATGTATAGTTTTCTTTTGGATACTAATAAAATTTACATTTTATCCAAAAAAAAAAAAAAATCGAAAGAGCTCTCAGTATCTCGAAAGAGCTCTCAGTAGTAAGTTCGCGTTGAGAATTCTCTCTGACTTCTCACTAGGATTTTCTCGCCCCCAACGGCTAGAATTTCTCTAGGTTGCTCGAACTCACAAACTGCTCTTTGATTACTTTTTCTCCGATTAATCTACTTAAATCTTGTTTCCCCTAGCTCGGAATTCCATCCTCTTTCTTTTCTATCGATTGGAATTGAAAATTTTGGAATTTTTTAGCTACTGGTGCGAGATTTTTGAAATCTGGTGCGCAGATTTTCACTATTCACTGCAGAATCCGATTTTGATCTTGGCACAAATATTGGACGATTGTTTGCGGACAAAGTTGATTGTTTGGGGGTCGCCTACCCTAGGCGAACCCAGGGGCACTGGTTTCAAGCATTTTGGCTGAGTAAAACGCTAGATACAAACTAGCCGTTACCTGCGTGCACTGTTCACAGACGAAAAGAAAAGTTCAGATTTCTTTCTCATCTTTGGATCATTTGGAATTCTGAATATACCCTGGGGATCGCCTCTCCCTTGCGAGCATTTTGATACCTGTTTCACCTGCTACAACGAAGGAATTCAAAAAAGCGTCACTGTTCATCCCTGTTCACTTGTGCGCAGGTATGAACTGACTTTTATTTGTTTTCTTAGTTTTTGCAGGTTCTGGGTAAAAACGAAGACCATAGGGAGACTCGCCATCACCAGGGGAACAACATATATTTTTTCCAGATTTTTCTGAGCACTTCGGTTGAGGGGTGTTACTGTTCATCGTCTTCTTCGTTGAGCTCCGGCCATGACGAGGAAGAACAAGCAGTTGCGGACCCCACCAGCGAAGGACAGGAGTTTTGAGGAAAAGGTCAAGTACTTGGCGGCCAAGAAAGCGGCCTTGGAGGAGGAAAAATTGAAGAAGAAGGACAGCCCTTCGAAGGTCTTACCTTCGTCCTTCCCGGTTGTCTCCTCAAACTCAACCCCCTTTCTTGCCGCGGCACAAATCACGCCGGGGGGGCTTACCCCCATTGCAGAAACCTCCTTGAATTCCACGGAGGCTTTACCACATGATGCTCCTGTTATCTCTGCCAACACCACGGTGGAAACTTCCCATGCCGCGGCCTCACCTGGGACAGAAAAGGAGGCAACACCGAATGGAGGGCTCTACTCCCATGCCGCGGCACAAATCTCCAATGCCGCGGCCCAAATATCCAGTGCCGCGGCCTCACAGGGATCCATGGTGGGAACTGGCTTTGCTGAAAAACTTCTGGGTTGTGGGGCTACCTCTGCCGCGGCATCAACTGTGCCCACGCCGACTCCTAAACCACTGTTGAAAGAGGTTACCACCCCCGTGGAAACCTCGGATGAAAGCCTTGGGGAAACTAATGCCCAACCCGAGGACTCTATCTCTCTTGGGTCCAAGGACACTGAACCGGTGAAGAAAAGGTCTGAAGAGAAGGAGGCACCCAAGCAATGGAGTTCTTTATTCCGGGACAACCGTGCACCATCGCATGGACTTAAACTTGAATATTTTCCTCCCACCGGGGAGAAACTTGACTTCTCCCACCTTGCGGTTCCTACACTTGTTGAGATTTGGGGCTTTTGCCTTGTGGGCCACTTCTCCGGTAGGTTCCCCGGGCTCAAAGCTATATTTGCCATGACACAAAAATGGGGGGTCGAGGTTGATGTGAAACCCCATAAAAAAGGGTGGATTATTTTCAAGCTCAAGAGTGAAGAGGACCGATTGAAGGTCTTGGCCGAGGGACCTTATGTGCTCTATGGGAAGACGATGTCTCTTAAACCACTCCCCGAGGACTTCGCCTTTGATTGTGAGGAATTTCTAAAGGTCCCAATTTGGGTTAAATTCCCAAAATTGAACCCTAGACTTTGGCATGCTACCGAGATGGGAATGATTGCTTCCCAAGTAGGGGTGCCCATAACCACGGACAAGGTAACACAAGACATGCACTTTACTAATTTCGCTCGTGTTCTTATTGAGGTGGATGTCTCTAAACCCCCGGTGCTTCATTTTCCTATCATCCCCCCCTCGGGTAAGGAATATGAACAAAGGGTTGTCTATGAATCTTATCCGGAATATTGCTACCGGTGCAAGGAGTATGGCCACCACCCCTTTGCGGGCTGCCCCACAGTAGCTAAGGAGGCTTTGGAGGCTCATATGGCTGAAAAGGAGGTGGTAAAATCTGCACATATTCTCATGGACAAGGCTGAAGGTTTGGGCAATGATGGTGGAAAGGAATTGGCTGTTGTTGAACCTCCTTTTATCCAAGTAAACCACAGAAAAAATAAGAAGGTTTATGTGAAGAAAGGGCCGGTGGCAAGGGGGGCTGCTCCTAAGAGTCCTATGCCGCGGCCTATTCCTGAGAAAGGCATGGACATTCCTTCAACCTCGGCTGCTTTTGTGGATAAAGTAAACACAGGAGGGAAGAAAGCCCAAGCCCATAATTCTAAACCCATTGGTGCTACCAAAGGTGCCACGATTCCGAAGGAAATTAAACTGCCCCCCCTGGGGGAGAAGCCGAGGACTGATTTGAGGCCACCGAAGGATGCCCCAAAAGTTATGGCAATTACAAAGGATAAATTTGGAGGTGCTGTTAATGAAGACCTTCCTGAAGGTTATGTCATTCGCAACATGTATGAGATGGATTACAAGGATGTGGTAACAAGTATGTTCACTGCCGAGGATGGGAAGAGATATGCCACAGTGATCGAGCCTGATTTTCTTCCCAAGGATGAAGTGAAGGTAAAGGTTGGCGCAAACCTCGAACCTGTCCCTAATGATGATGAACCAGGCGTTTATTTCACACATGGTTGCCTTATGAAGCTCCCGGGAGTCAAACAAAAAGGGGACTGGTATGACTTCGACCCTACTGTTTTTCCTAACCATGTTCTCTCTTTCTTTGATAGAAATAGCAAAGAAAATAAGAGATACCACAAGGAATGGAAGCGTAGGATGCGAAGGAAGGAAGCTAAAACTGGAGAAACCGGGGGAGGAGGGACTGCCTCCGATGTGGACCTTACTTGATGATAAAAGTCCTCTCGTGGAATGTTAGAGGTTTGAATAAAACCTCGAAGCATATGTTAATCTCTAACTTTATTAAGGCGAATAACATTCACTTGTGTTGTTTTTTGGAGACCAAAATGAACCGGTTTAGTTTTAATAACTATGTTCTAAATAAATGGCCGGGTTGGGTTTTTAAGGAAAATTTTGATCTAATAAATGGTGGTCGCATGGCTGTTATGTGGAACCCCTTTTATGTTAATGTTTCTTTTGATGAAATTGATAGGCAACATATGCATGCTAAGTGTGTTTGTAGGATTACACAAACCACTTTTGTTGCTACCTTTGTTTATCCATTATATACGGTACTTGAGAGAAAATCCCTTTGGGATCACTTGACTTTGGTTGGAAATCACATCACAGACCCTTGGATGGTGTGTGGTGATTTCAACTGTATTTGTGCGCCTAATGAAAGGGTTGGTCCTACCCCCCCAACGGCGTATCTTATGCAGCACCTTATGGACTTTAAGGTCTCGGCCAGCCTTCACGATGCCCCCTCCACGGGAGAGTTCTTCACTTGGAACAAGGGCACATTATGGGCTAAACTGGACCGTGTGTTGATCAATGATGAATGGGCACTAAACAGTGTGGGGTGTAGGGTTCACTTCCACGAAATGGAGGTGGAGTTTGATCATACGGCTTCCGTTGTATCAATTCTCCAGAACTCCTCACCTAGACCCAAGCCTTTCAAATTTTTTAATATGTGGTTAAAACACCATGATTTTACTAACATTTTAGTGCAGCACTGGAACACGACTTGTGTTGGGTCGGCCCAATACCTCCTTGTTAAGAAATTAAAGGGTCTGAAAAGGCCTTTAAAAGTGCTTAATGCTATGGAGTTTGGGCACATTTCCAACAAGGCAAAGAGGGCAAAAGATGACTTTAAGGCAGCTCACAGATTGTTGCTACTTGACCCGACAAATGAGGAGCTTAAAGCTAGACTGGGGGAAACTAGTAAGAAGGCCATTTTCCTTTGTGAAGCCGAAACTAGTTTCTACCAACAAAGGGCCAAGGCAACTCACATCCTTGAAGCGGACAAAGGAACGAAGTATTTTCACGCTATTGTCAAACGGAACTTGGCAAGGAATGCAATTACTTCCCTTACTTTGGAGGATGGTAACATTACGACTTCTTTAGACCAAGTGGGGAGTGAGTTTGTTAATTTTTTTACGAGCTTATTTGGAACCCAGTTTGAGTGCCATCCGTTGGACCCTGATATTTTAGGGTCTGGCCCGAAGGTTGAGCGATCTGCCCATGGACGCCTGATTGCCCCGGTCTCCACCGTGGATATTAAAAATGCCCTGTTCGATATTGGCAATGACAAGGCTCCCGGCCCGGATGGCTACTCTTCTGCCTTTTTTAAAACAAACTGGGAGACGGTTGGGGAGGATATAGTCCAAGCGGTTAAGGAGTTTTTTTGTTCGGGGAATTTGCTAAAACAGATTAATCATACTGTAATTGCACTTATCCCTAAAACGAATCATGCTCCTAAGGTTTCGGACTATCGGCCCATTTCTTGCACAAATGTCTTATATAAAATCATCACGAAAATTATTGCTAATAGATTGATTCCGTGTCTCCCGGAATTAATTGACCATGCCCAAGGGGCTTTTGTGGATGGCCGCCTCATGTTTGATAACATTTTCCTTGCCCAGGAACTTGTTAGAGGATACACGAGGAAGCGAATCTCACCTAGGTGCATGATCAAGGTGGATTTGCGCAAGGCCTATGATACTATTTCGTGGGACTTTTTGGAAAATGTACTCAAGGGACTGGGCTTCCCTTCACAGTTTATTGGATGGATCATGGAGTGTGTCTCCACTGCTTCTTTCTCGGTCTCTTTGAACGGCTCTTTGTATGGGTTCTTCAAAGGGATGAGGGGAATCAGACAAGGAGACCCCATGTCCCCGTTATTATTCGTGATTTGTCTTGAATATTTTTCGCGTCTACTTAAAGTGCGGACTTCCGGTCCAAACTTCAATTTCCACCCCCAATGTGCTTCACTTGGAATTACTCATTTGGCCTACGCGGATGATTTAATGCTCTTTTCAAGGGGTGACAAATTTTCCATTGAAATACTTGTCACTGCCCTTAAAGACTTTGGGGACGTTTCGGGCCTACGAGTAAACCATGACAAATCTAATATTTTTCTTGGGGGTGTGATGGGGTTTGAACTACAAAATATCTTGGACTTCGTTGACTTTGGGCAAGGTGAGTTTCCGGTTAAATATCTTGGAATTCCCTTAGCCCCTCTTAAAGTATCGGTCGCACAGTATGCACCCTTGATTGACATTATCACTGATTTTTTGAATGCTTGGAATACCAAAACAATTTCTTATGCAGGGAAACTCGAACTAATACGTTCGGTTATCCAAGGTGTACAATCTTTTTGGTTGCAGGTATTCCCGGTTCCAAGAGCGATCATTGACCGCATTGTGTCCATTTGCAGAGTTTTCCTTTGGGGTGGAAAATACTCTAAGGTGGCTTGGGATGATATTTGTCTCCCAAAGGAGGAAGGGGGGCTTGGTGTCCGAAATGCTTCTACTTGGAATATGGCTCTCCTTTCTCGCACTTTGTGGGACGTACATCGGAAGAAGGATACCCTTTGGGTTAGGTGGGTCAATGGTGTCTACCTCCGGGGTAGAAGTGTGTGGGATTTTATCCCACACAACCGCGACTCAATTTTTATGAAAAAATTGGGTCAAACCCGAGACCGTATTATGGACTGTTTTAACAACCGAAATGATACCATCATGGGACTTTATGCTAGATCTCTAAATGGCAAATTAATTTCGGGAAAGGTTTATGACTTATTGAGAACCAAGGGGAGCAATAGGGCCTGGATGAGTTTCATTTGGAAATCCTATATCCCCCCAAAGTTCTCTTTTAATGTCTGGCTTGCCTTTAGAAACCGGTTACCCACACAGGATAACTTGGGATATCTTCATATTGTTAACCGATGTGACCTTTGCAAGGGTGGATTGGAAACAATTCCACACCTATTTTTTCTTTGTGATTTCACATGCAGGGTCTGGAAACGAATCAAGGACTGGTTGAGCATGGATCGGAGCATGACTACACTGGCTAGCTCGGTCAAGTGGATGCTTAAAGAGCACAAAGGATCAAAGTTGATGGGCAAAGCTGTTCGAATTGCGTTCTGTGCCGCGGTGTATCACCTTTGGCATGCGAGGAATGCAAATAGATTTGATGATTGCAACAAAACCGAGGACGAGATCGTTGCGAGGATCAAACATGTGGTGTATAAGATCCTATTCAACATATACCCACATGAGTTGATCAATTTCTGATGGATGGAAGAAACCTTTCGCTAGGGCCTGCTTTGGCATTTTTGCTCCTGATTTTGTAGTGTCTGCAGTTTTGCAAACACCCTAATCTTTGTCATTTTTGATGTATTGCAGAACTGTACGTGCGTGTAGACTTACAGCACTTGCTTTTGGTTTTTGATGTTTGGGGGACGTAGTAGGTTTCCTATTAGGGCCCCAGCTTGTTTTTGGACTTAGATCGAACACAAACCTTCCTTCCAACCCTCTCATTTGATGGGGGGGGGGTTTGGGTAGATCTAGGATGTATAGTTTTCTTTTGGATACTAATAAAATTTACATTTTATCCAAAAAAAAAATCGAAAGAGCTCTCAGTCTGTCAATCCTTGCTATGTCTGGACCTGGTAAGTTTCCCCGTGTTGAG